CTGCAATGTGCACAGAAACGTTGAACAATTTCCAACATTCGACGCGGCTTAACCCTGAAAGCCGAAGTTATAAGCAAGCGGCTTTTATTCCTCATAACGCCGTGAGGGTGCGGTTACTTATTCGACGTGCGTGTGATACAAGTAGCCTAAACAAAGTTTCAGGAGGTAGCCTTTCTTCCACAGGTTTATAGAAATTATTCCATAATAGAACAGCAGGAACAGGATATCGTGTGAACGTACAAATAAACGTTGCAATCACGAAAACAACAGCAAATATTACAAAAAGGAAGAACTTCATTTCGTAAAATTACAAAATAAATCCCACCCGAGAATATGAACGAAGGTAATTTCTGGACGTCAGAGGTGTTTCCTGCCTTCATCACCGGGGCGATGAGGCAACAAAAACCTCTGAAACGTAGGTAACCTCCTGCCGGACTAGACAACGCAATCCAGAAGACAGCTATCAACAATTTAAATCTTAGATTATATAACAACTACCGCTTTCAAATGCAGAAGTTCCACGTAATTATAAACAGATTCCTACTGAATATTTTTACGGATCATCGACTGAGAAACACTGGTCTAGAGACAAGTTCACATATACCAGTGGGCCTATAATCTCTGTGGTCTCTCTGTATTTTGGTGACGAATCAGCTGATGCTCCTAACTAAAATAATTCAAAATGACCTTTGAAGATCCCGGTGTTTATCCATAAAACGAACGTAATTCATGTTGTAGTTGTTTTTGTAAGACCTGTATGTCCTTTTTATGACGATACACCACGCCCTGTGTTTCTCTATTCGACACTTCACAGCCACTTTGATGTCCAGTGTTTACTCATAAAACAAGAGACATTCATACTGGACTAGCGTTACACGCAAATCCTTTCCAAGCCAGAAATAACGAATTTCCGGCAGTTTTATTGGAAGAAGAGAAGCTTGTTGACATTAACAAGTGTCTGTATAAACGAAAGACGTTGGCGTAAGCCAAGTCCGTGTGCAAATTTTGCAAATGCGTCTTTTTTGGGATATAAGAATACCTTTATGTACTTTCACTGCAGATACAAACATTTTAAGGTTTGTTCACTAGCGTTTAGGGCAAGGACGAGTTACTGGAGAGAGTTACTAGTGTTTAGTTACTCCAATCTAGTAAACAAGCACTTTAACACTCACTGGCTTAAATAAATACATATAAATAAATAATATAAAAAATAAATCGATCTCGTAAATAGCATCAGCAACTCGTGTTCGCACTTTGCCCGAGCAAACAAGGTTTCATTGTGCATATAAACTTATTGTTACAAAGTAATAAAAAGAAAACACTTTTTCAATCAGAACTTAATTCTCCATATAGGCCTATCCAATTAAATGTTCATCAAATAAAAAACTGGAGACCGAAGTTCCAGATTTTTAATTATATCTTTCTAACCATATTTTAAGAACAACCTTACTTTAATACATGCTTTTCGGCATGACTTTAATGCAAATTGGTGTTATACAGACCTACACTAGTCACGAATGCGTCCAATAGCACGTAATACAAAATTTATTTTTTATGGTTTCTTTATCGGTTGTGTCAGCAGCTCGCATTAAACATCGAATGATAGGCTGATTTAATGGAAATGACATCCAAGAAGACGCAAATAGCCTAATATAAACTACTAACACGGAATATAACCACAAAAGAAAAAATCGGTCATTACAGCCGGTCTCATGCCCTACATGCGAACCCGGGCTCTCTCGAATACAAAGCAGATGTGCCAACCACGCGGCCGTCACGTTGGGTGCTTAATAAAAATTATAATCTAAATCTACCTATATATGTAGGGAATAAAACGGACGGATGTTTTCTCCCAATTTTGGATTTACTTTATAAATTTAATCCAAAAGTCTTATAAAATTATATACGACATTCATGATGCCAAACGCTGTCTCTCCTAGAATGATAAATAAAGGCGACCTGTTCTGTCGTCTACTTGAACGTTTACCTAACTAGCAGACATCGTCCAAAGAAAGAACTCCCAAAACGATACCAGATCGTTGTCGCTACGCCTACACCAAATGGGTGCATGAGAGATTTTAAATGCGTCTTCTCAGTAATATCTATTCAATATCTTAATCGATATTACGAAATTCTATGTGATAATGAAGAATCTGTGGAAGTTCATCATCCCCATATTTTTCATAATTTTATAACGATTTACAGATTCTTCAAGTAGACCTTGACTTGCCATTTTATATATTTTTTTCTTAACACTTCAAGTAGAAACGATCAATTAGTCTTAGCCATGAAAATGTAGTAAAACAACGAATCACTTACTTTATACACGGAACATTTTTACTTTGCTAGATATAATTTATGCTATTCGATCAAAGTAAACTTCTTTCCAACGTCTATCTTTGTAAATAACACGGATTTACAAAGCGTAGCATTAATCAAACTTATAGTAGGTTATATAAAAAGTTTTCTGTAAACCCTTGAATGTATGTAAATCAAATTTGCATTTCTAATGCAGTTCATTAAGTAAATAAAAAGATTTTGGATTTTTATACAGCGTGAGTGTTATTTTACCCTCAATATGAAAGCGTTTCCAAGACGAAAGATTTTGAAATGTGCTGCGATTAGAATCCTATTAGAAGTTCTAAGACAGAAAAGCGATGGAGTTTACTAAGTCCATTAACGATAATAAAAGTTCGTAAATACAATATAGGCGTAATACGTCCTAACAACTTGGGCCATAAGAGAAATTGGAATATTTACCTTCCTATAGGTCACTATTATAATTCTGTCCCTTCTGTCTTAAGTGTGGTAATAATCGGAAGTAGGCTGCTAATTTTTGAAAATAATCATAAATGAAAATCTTATTCTTGAGTCTCTATACTGAGCACATATATTAATAAATAACTTGCAGAGATTAAATTCTACATAAAATCAATCATATGGTGACTCACCACTTGTCAATGTTCCCATGTGTTCCTGGAACATGAATTCACCTTCCATTTTCGTTTTCCTAAAAGAGAGAAAAACATTTTATTTCTGGTTTCCTACAAAAATATGAAACATTACATTTCTTTTACAGCAGTGTTTTAGTAGATCGTTCATTTAGTTCAGACCCGCGTAGGAAAAACAAGCCATTTTAGGTAAGGGGACAGAATGGCAACGAACATTGTTCCAGTTTCATGTTTTAGGTTCTCACAGAGGCGAATATGAAGATCGCTGCCTTCT